AGCCCTAGGTTCTGATTATTCATGACATTTTTTGTTGAAGGTAATGATAAGCTAACGACAAAATGGAACATATTGGCAATCTTGCAAAATACTCTTGAGGACAGTCAAGAGGATCCATATGGCTTAACTAAAACACTGATCAAATGATTCTTGAACTCCTATAATTACTCCAATTCTCTTCTAGTCATGATATTACGTTAAGCTCGAGGAGTACGCAACCTTGGCAGTTATGACAGCATGTCACAATTGTCACTTTACGATTTGCTCCAAGTATAATCTTTACTTTATATATTAGCCCTCCTTGCAAGTTGTTACTAGCGATGTCAACATGAGGCTGTGATCATTTTAATCGCCAACGCATATAAGTTGATCCTTCGGTGTGCATTATAATAGGGAGGATTAAAATGAATTAAGCATCTTCAGATTTGACTTTTTCTTTACTTCTTCAGTTTTCCTCTCTCCTTCGCTTTGCAACTACCAGAACTCTTTTTGTGTTCCTTTGATTTGAATAAGAGTTGTGATTACTTTATCGAGGCAGAAACACTTATTTGCTAAAAGATTTAAGCAGTTTTGTCCAGCCACAGGTCTTGTACTTGGACCAAATTATAGCTGGTGAAGGAGATTAGACAACTATACCAACGTGGAACAATGGTTAGAGAGCCCCAACCCTATTTAAGGAATAAAGATACTCTTGGCTCCCACTGAATATTCAGGAGGCTTATTAAGGAAGTTTATTACGAACTATATCCTGATAAGCAAACCATTAACCAATCTACTGAAGAAGGAAAGATTTGAGTGGATAGAAGAAGCAACTAACGCCTTCTTAGAACTCAAGCAAAGCCATAATGACAGCAATTGCATTAACCTTACAAAATTTCAGCAAGACCTTTGTAGTAGAACGATATGCATGATATAAAGGAAAGGGCTGTTTTAATGCGAGATTATATACGAATTGCATCCTTCAACCAAAGCTCCTATAGCCCTAATACTCACGGTTATCAGCATATGAAAAGAAACAAAAATCCCTATTGATTGTAGTGGACAAATAGAAGCACTTTTTACAACTCTCATACTTCAGAATTGCAATAAATCACTTCAATTTGAAATTCTTATTAGAATATAAGATTAGTACAGCATTGCAGCAGAAGGGACTAATCAGATTAATTGGCTAAAGTTATGAAGTCCAAGGAATAGACAATGTGGCTGCAAAATGTACTGTCAAGGAGACATGAGATGCAAACCAGTTGCAATACCACATTCCTAGTTGCAGCAAACTGGGGACAAGAAATGCTAACTAGTTATGAACTTAAGAAGGGTGCAAAATTAAGCAACGTATGTCTGCCTTATGTTGATAAACAGTGAATTCCTGATACTACTTTACAGAAATGTCACTCCAATATAAAGGTAAAGTGTGAGGAGGCAGCGGGTTGAATAATGGAGGGTATGCAGCTTCAATCTTAGGTGGGCATTCAAGAATTTTAGCTACACAACAAAAACTTAGATTTGGTGCTCTGCTTGCCCTCAATTGCAAATGATGTTAAAAGATGGTATAAGATGTGACATTTGTCAGAAGAGCAAGGCTGAGAATGTAGATAACTCAATGCTTCTGCAGCCATACCTATCCCAAATAAAGCTTGGGAATACATAGCCATTGACATTATTTAGAGCCTACCCAGATCTAAAGGAAAGATGTGATCATGGTCATCATGGCCGTACAAGCAAATATGCACATTTTTAATCCAGACTTATCCATTCACTGCTATAAAAGTAGCAAAGGCATTCTAAGTTAAAAGCTTCATAGGCAGAGACAAACCTTTCTTTGCCTCATTCAAAAGGATTTAAAAAATAATGCAGGTTAATTTGTAGTGGAGCTCAGACTCAAATAAATGGGCAAACAGAGAAGCTCAATAGGCATCTTGAAACTAACCTCAGATGCATGATTGGTCATCAGATCATAAAGTGGAAGAAATGTCTCTCTTTGGCTGAATATTGGTAAAAATTACCAATTACCACTCAACATAGCAGGACGGATTATTTCAAGCGGACCCACCCGTCCACATCTCAGGCAGGAGGGGGAGCACAGACCCCTACCGCTCATGCGCTAGGATACGCTTCTGCTATTTATCAGACCCCGGGGTACTACCTACGGGCGGAGTTCTCCCGATTGCAGTGGCTAGAGCAGAGACCGTTGAGGAGCAGACGCGGCTGGACAGATTTAAGAGACTTTATCCTCCCCAATTTGGCGGTGAGCCGTCAGAGGACCCACAAGATTTCATCGACCGTTGCAAACACTATTTAATTCTCTATGAGTTTGATCCACCATCTTTCGACTTGGTATCTTAGTCCAAGTTGACCTTGGTGGATCAGCCCTTCAAGAAATAGCTTATGGATACGGTAAAGGAAAACAATTTACAAGAAGCACAAAACAGGATAAAAATGCAGGTTAAGGGGTATTTGCAATTAGCGATAAGATTATATATAAAAGTTACAAACTTACGTGTTCGAATGTCCACATTGATTGAGGTAATGAGTTTTGTCTCCTTATGTGGTCTGGACCGATTTTCATTTCATAAGCTAGCTTTTGGGATTGAGTTAGGTCTAATGTCCATTTTCTTTACATAGTATTAGAGTCAGACACATCCCTCTTGTTAGTTATTCTAATGTTGGGAACCCATGTTACCTTATCCACACTCCAAATGGCCAACCATGGACGTGTGAGGGGTATTAGAATGTCTCACATTGATTTATGGAATAGGTTGTTGTCTCCTTATATGGTCTTAGTAAATCCTCACTTCATAAGTTATCTTCTCGGGTAGAGTTAGGCCCAAAGTCCATTTTCTCTACACTGTAGGCAATCCTCAGTACCTATTAACAAGAACTCGAAGTTGTCCTCTGAGTATTTTGAGTAATACCAAATCATTCAAAGATTTGAAGCAACCGTCTAAATTTTTTTTTTTTTAACTGCTAGTACATTAAGGAATTCATCAGTATTCCATGTCTCACATCTGAAGAAGAGGGTTGTGAGAATGCAACTCCTTCAACTAATTTACCAGTTTGACACCCCTTATTCGAAGCAATGGCTATACTTGAACAGAGAGTGATAGAAAAAGGGAACGTAACAACTAATCAAATATTAGTTCAATAAGTGAATCTTTTAACATAAGCCCACATGAGATAATTTTCCTTCACACGTAATTTCCAGATTTCTAACCTTTTTTGAAGGAGAAAGAAATGCATATTACTTTACAGTTGAGAAAGAGCAAGAGAACAAATGGCAGCTAGAACTGCATTTCAAACTTTTGAACTTTCACTTTAGTACCAGGTCACACATTATTTTTTATACTAGCTCTCATTGCAAGCTCATACTAGTGTCTTCAGTCTGAGGTTGGGAACTTTATAACTACCTAAGCCTATAAATTGATGCTTTCATATTGTAATGGCAGGAATGGGATGAATTAAGCATCTTCTATTTTGAACTTCTTTTCCTCTCTTACAGATTTCGTTTCCTTCTCTTTGCTTTGCAAAACTGGCAGCTCTTTGGTTCCTTTGGTTTGATTTAGAGTTCTCCTTACACAGTCACATGTTTCTACATTCATTACTTTCTAGTTCACTTGTTTTTCTATCATGTCCAAATGGTTTCAAGTGCTAACCAAAAGTTCGAATTATGGATAAACACTTTAGAAAGTAAGTTTGTTTTAGTATAAGAAGAAGATAAAGTAGATACACAGAAGACAGCATAAATAGAGTGAAATTGAAGTGAGATTAGACGGGATTAGTGATTACAGTGTATAAATATAGAGAATTCAGATATCTAGGTTTGATATTCATGGATAATGGTACGAAAGATGCAGAGATAACACATTGAACTAAATTGGATGGTTTAAATGAAGAAGTGTTACCAGAATGTTATGTTATAGAAGGATACTTATCAAAGTGAAAGCAAGTTCTATTGAACGGTAGCAAACATCAAATACTACAGTTGATGTTAGACCACCTCTGAGGTCCGAGATGAGTGTATAATAGAAAATTGCACGTAAAGGATCAAACAAGAAAAGGTGGCAGTGGCTTGAGATGATTTCACCATGTCGGCATGTCCAATGTAGACTTTTAGATGCACTGGTATATAGGTGTGAATGCATGAAATTGAAGGTGTTAAATGAGATAGGAAAGACCTAAAAATCACATCGAAGGATGTTATCTAGGTAGATTTACCGAAAAAAGAGACTCTAAATTATTGAATATTGGGTACAAGTTCAAATGAAGCAAAATAGATAGTGAAGATTCATATTGCCCACTCAAACAAGCTTGGAATTTAGGTGTAAGTTATTGTTCTTTACAAACTGTTTCCATAGCCAGCAGAGAATATGCTTATGACTTGTGTAAGCCAAAGCATATGTACGAGGATTATTCAGAATGTAACAAGAAATAATGCAAGTCATTACGATATAGGGAAAGGGCCATAAACTTCAAAATGCTATCATTCTATCAGCATACCTTTTGGAAAATGGGATATTCAGCCTGAAATCTTGTGCACGCAAATTCTTGAGCTTCCTGACTCGTACCAGGCTCTTGCTTCAAAAATTGGTTGCAAGGGAAGGCCAAGACCTCAAAACCTGAAAACTCAATTAAAATATATACATTAAGAGTCTGTACAGAGGCACCAATATATTTCTAGCAAGAGTGAGCAAACCTGCGAGAAACAAAATGCTGAAAGAACATAAGAGCACAAAAAGAAACAGACCAAGACATTAAACAGACCACCCACCTTTATCCTTGTATTGGTTATAGAGTTGAGTCAATTGAGTATAATTGGTACTTGTGAACCCACTGTTTCAGCCAATAAGAAGAAAAAACACTGTCACCATATGGACAAGTAGTACCATAAAAATTGTCATGGCAAAGAAACAGAGAACCAGTGGAAAATAGCTTAAAGTTGAACATTTGATTTGAATTGAAAAATGGAAAGAATAGTAGTCGAGGTATGCGGCCCAGACACTAGATGATTTCTTTCTCATCTGTCCAAGTCTTTTTGGTGGACAGAATTACCGGATACCTGTGTTGGTGAGAGGTAGCAGCTACCAAGGAATTAGTCAACGTGCAGGCAAGCTGGACGGGGTTATCAAAAAAATAGAAAAAGAACAAGAACTGAACAAGAGAAGAGAAGGAGAAAGAACCATTTGGAGGCAACATTAACGACAAGAAGCACTTTGCCTTTGTACATGCTAAGGTCTACATCTTTCCCTTTAATGTCCTGGAATATAGGATAACAAATAAAACACAAACCATCAAAAATAGAGCAAAATTATAAGAAAAGAGGCTTAACATAGAAGAAACCATTATAAAGGGTGACCTTGACAGTGAATTCGTGGATTGATTTCTGCGGAACTGATTTAGAAGCACCCATTTTTTTATAAGTCTACTGGAGAAATGGATTTAGGAATGGGCAAAGATGACATAGTAATAAAGAGGGGTTAATTCAAAAGATAACAGCTTTTGGCTAAAGGGATTGAAAATGGGTATCTCATATCTGGATTTCTCGAATGTGAATGCGGTTGGGAGTTGGGACCTTCACTTCATTTGCCACCTAATCTTTCGCGGTGTTATCACTTTTGCCCAAATCAGCAGTTATACCCCAAACGCGTGGCTCTCCCACTCAACATGACAAACTTTCTCGGACCAATTTATGTTTGACCGAATTTTATGTGATTTATTTATGTCTGATCCTCTTTTTGCTTGTTGCAATTAATTTTTCAAGTTAAATTTGTATAGGTCAAAATCAGACCGGGGATTAAGTCGTGCAGAGTTGCACGAGGAGAGTGATTTGGAAAGTGTTGAGTGTGGCGTGGTCGTGGTCGGTCAGAAATCTCATGCGTCGAGTAGCTCGACAACTGGTCGTGGTCGTGATCGTGGTCGAGGTCGAGACGCAGAGTGAGAAATAATGGCTAATTTATATCGGAGTCCACAAGAGGGAATATTTCAGTGAATATTCTATCTATTTGTACTTTAGGGTTCCTAGGAAGAAAGAGGGGAAGAGGGAAAGATTCCACATGATAAGAACACTTGTAAAAGGATAAGCTCTCAGATATAATACAAAGAACTACTTTTCATTAAGATTGATCCCGTTGGTGAACTATTCTATTGTCTTTTCCATCAGATCCATGAAAGTGCATAATATTCTATCTCACTCATGTCATTCATCCTTGTCAGAGGAAGGAATCATTCACCCTCTTCAATGTTGGGCGAATCTTCCCATCTATTTATGTTTACTGCCATTTAATATTATTTATTGCTTGCTCTTTCTACGTAGCATAACACTTGGTTACATTTATTACCCACATCTCATTTTGAGTACACTGTTATTCACATCATCCGTTGTAGATCTAGAATTATTAGCTTTATTTAGGATTGTCCCATCTTGATAAATCATTAATTAGTTTAACCAAGGATTAACTCATTTTTGGTCAAATAATTTGGCGTCGTATGTGGGGATTTTTTAGTCAAAGTCTTAGTTTTTCTAGATCTAAAAAAGAAGCCCAACACAAAAATTTCTTTTTCCTGCGTGCACATTCTAACATGAGAGATAATGGAGAGGAAAGATTGAAGGCAGTGGCAGACCTTACTGCTAACCTCCTAAACCCCATCAACGACGTTGATGGAACAGACGAGGAGAGTGTGAACCAAATGCTTCCCCTAGACAAAGTGGTTCACCCCTCCCTCACGGCAGCGAACCTCCCATGGAAAGGGGCCTCTACGTCCACAACGGAAAAGGCACCACCAGCAGTTAAAAAGCTACTAGAAGCATGGCTAACGAGTACACTAACCAGCATACTCGACAAACCCGCCCAAAAGGCGAAAAAGAAGGATGTATGAGTCGGCATCACATTAGAGACTGATGAGCGGCACGACCCTCCTCCTGTGACAAGTATCACTCACCTGTTAATGATGCAGGTAATAACACCCTTACAGCCTATCTGAAGAAAATGGAGGAGATGGAGAACGAGAACAAAGCGCTCCGCGACCAAATGAAGGAGCACCAAGAAAGATTAGACAAGATACCGGGCGCCCCAAAGTTGTTACCAAAACGGGACGTTGACAGGTTCGGGGAACAATCGTATAGTGACGAAGCTGAGCCACACCTTATACCTAAAACATTCAAAATGTCTTCATACTTGAAGATGTATGATGACACGATGGAACCTGAGGATCATGTCACCCAATACGTCACCGCCATGAAAGGCAACGACCTCGCCAAAGAACAAGTATCATCCATATCGCTAAAGAAGTTCGATTAAACACTAATTGGGGGAGCATTGACATGGTACTCACAATTACCTGCGCGGTCCATAAAAACATTTGAGGAAATGGCCGACAAATTCGTCACCGCCCATGCCGGGGCTAAGAAAGCAGAGGCAAGGGTAAATGATATTTTCGCTATTAAACAGTCACTCGACGAGGGACTCAGAGACTTCCTCGCCTGATTCAGCCGTGTTAGAATGACACTTCAAAATGTGTCGGAGGGAATGACGGTAGTAGCTTTCCAAAATGGGATGAACATGAGCGGTTCGCGAGCGACTAGGAAATTGTTGAGCCATCTAATGAAATATCCCCTACCATTTGGGACGAGATACACAATGCCTATTGTGCCGAGGTGCAAGCTGACGAGGACGACCTCAGTAGACCAACCCAACAGTTGACATCAGTCTAAATAGAGTTGAGAAAAGATCGCAGAAATGATAACAGAAGGGACCATGCAGGTCAGCGCCTCAACCGTGAAAGACACCAACCATATATCAAAACTGCCATCATACCACCCTCCCGCCATGGCGATGGTCCATCTAGGTCGCAGACAGGGACTCACCGAAAGAGGTATGCCTCCACTACTATCTGCTCACAATTTTTGTGTTTCCCCTTTAGAGATAGTCTACGCCCTAGAGAAGCTCGGCCCAAAGGTGAAATGGCCACAAAATATGAAGTCAGATCCAAATACCAGAAAGTCCAATGCCCTCTGCAAATTATACCAGGAACGAGGTCACAAGACCGAAGAAAACATCGCCTTAAGGCAAGAGGTAGTGAACATGCTCCACCAAGGGCATTTGAGAGAACTGATGAGCGGCTGAGGAAGGGCGAACTTCACTCGAGGACAAGAACAACATCAAGGCCCCCCGAAGCCACCCTCTCTAGCCTACACCATCCAAATGATCATCGGTGGAGGCGGCGATGAGACAATCACCAACATAAAGTTCACAACCACCCATAAGTTGAAGCAATCAATCACCCATGAACGGTATGACGACCTCGAAGAAAGTATCATCTTCGACGATTCGAATACCCACAGTTTGACTTTTCCTCACTATGATGCTTTTGTTATTACTTTGCGTATTTCAGATACCGATGTAAAATGAATTATGGTAGACGGAAAGCGACGCGTGCATTATCCACCCTAGAGTTCTCACACAAATGAGGCTCGAAGATAGGATAGTGCCACGTTGTATCACACTAACAAGTTTTAACAATTTAGTTGAGCGGACTTTCTGGGAAATCACACTACCTGTTTTGGCCGGTGGTATCACTCTCGAAACTATGTTCCACATTATGGATCAAGATACGGCGTACAACGCCATCATAGGACGGCCTTGGATACACGCCATGAGGGCCATCCCATCCAGCTTATATCATATCATCAAGTTTCTCACCCCGTGGAGAGTATTCAGCATTTGCGGAGAATAGCGCACGACCCAAGAATGCTACCGCATTGCCCAAGACTGCACATACACTCAACAGTTAAAGGGAAAAGGTGCAGAAGCATAGCAATTACCGAGGTCGAGGTCTGACGGTGATGAAGGGAAAGATGTCATCAAGGACCCCAAAGTTGTGGAGACTATGGGATCAACTGTGGAAGACCCCGACCCCATTCAGCTCGATAAAAGTGACCACAGCAAAAAGGCCTATATAGGCCACAAACTCCAAGAACCAGGTAAATTCCATCAAATTTTAGCTAACAATGCAGATTTGTTTGCTTTTTCTCATCCAGAAATGTCGGGCATCCGAAGGAATAGCAACACATATATTGAATGTCGACCCATTCCACCCCCCAGTACGGCAAGTTAGAAGAAAATTCAATGCCGCGATAAATGATGTTGTTCGTGAAGAGGTGGAGAAATTACTTGAAAACGGCTCTATCAGAGAGTCAAAATACCCTCAATGGGTCGCCAACGTGGTCAGGGTGAAAAATAAAAATGGGAAATGGCGGATGTGCGTGGACTTCACAGATCTAAACAAGGCATGCCCGAAAGACTCATTCTCACTGCCTTACATTGATTAGCTTATCGACGCAACATTAGAGCATAAGCTGTTAAGTTTCTTGGATGCCTATTCGGGTTATAACTAGATCCTCATGGAGGAAGAAAATCAGGAAAGAACTACTTTCATCATACACCAAGGGACGTACTATTACAGAGTTATGTCGTTCCGATTTAAAAATGCAGGGGCGACATACCAGAGGTTGGTAACCAAAATGTTCAAAGAATATCTTGGCAAAACCATGGAAGTATATATAGACGACATGTTGGTCAAGTCGAAAAGAAAGGAAGACCACATCGACCATTTGAAAGAAGCCTTCGACATACTCGGGCGGGACAGAATGAAATTAAACCCCGAGAAATGCGCCTTCGCAGTAACCTCGGGAAAGTTCCTCGGCTTCTTAGTATCGCAACGAGGCATTGAGGTCAACCCTGACCAAATCAAGGCTATAGAGGAATGTCAGAACACTTGACCAGCAAGAAATAGGTGCAAAAACTGACTGACCATATAGCCGCCCTGTCAAGATTCATCTCACAGTCCTTTAATAGGTGCCATAAATTTTTTGGCGTACTCAAAAAGCAAGATGGACTCCAATGGAATTCTAAGTGTGTCGACGCCTTAAAAAATTGAAGGCATACCTGTCTTCGCCTCCGTTGCTCGCTAAAGAGGAGCCCGGGGAACGTCTCCTCGTCAACCTGGCCTTGTCTGATGTCGCATTAAGTGCAGTCCTGGTACGAGAAAATAAAGGTACGCAGTCTCCCATCTACTACATTAGCAAAACTTTGGTCGACGCTGAAACGAGGTACCCCCACCTCGAGAAGCTAGCCCTAGCGTTGGTAGTAGTTTCACGAAAGCTTAGACCTTATTTCCAATGCCACCCCATCTTAGTGGTCACGACCTTTCCACTAAGGAATATCCTACATAAACCCGAACTATCGGGTAGATTGGCCAAATGGGCCATAGATCTAAGCTAGCACGATATAACCTATCAGCCGCGAACGACAATAAAGTCGCAAGTACTTGCCGACTTCGTCGCCAATTGTAGTGCAAAAATAATGTCCGAAGTCGAAAGGGAAGACACCAGTACTTTCACCAAAATGCACGACCAATGGGTTCTGTACACCGATGGCACTTCTAACGCGTCAGGATCTGGACCGGGACTCGTGCTCGAGGTCCCAACAGGCGAAATAATTTGCCAGTCCATACGGTGCCCTAATATGACTAACAATGAGGCTGAGTATGAGGTCGTGATTGTAGAATTGGCACTCATGTACGGAGCATGACGAGTAGTACTACGATGTGACTTGCAACTCGTCGTCAATTAAGTCACAAGGACTTTCTAAATTAAGG